CAACAATATACATGTATCCATTACCATCAAAAAAAACATCTGTTGGTGTATTTAAACGATTCAACGCAGTGCTGGCAGTACCAGTACTTCCGGCCACTAACTTAATTGTAGAATTCCAAAGTGCTGCATCACAAATTTCATTCGGCGCATTAGCTTTAAAAGATGTACAAAACACTTACTGAATATCAAGGATCACTTTTCATTTGATCTTTTCATGTTAGATATTAACAAAAGAAGACTTTTCTATCAAAATCCAAAAATAGTACCAAAGGAAATCAGCGGAAATATTCAATATTAATGACATGTATGTGTAATCTCTAGAAGGTTTTTGCGGATAGATCAAGAGTTTCTAGACATTTCAAAGCAACTGCTCTACTGTGGATCCAGTTGATAGATCGAAAAGTCATGCATATATCTTTGTACTATTAGAAAGCTAGCAATCATAGCAAGTTTTTATCATGTGATTAGATGCCTTACAAGGAATCAAAGTGATGTATTTACAGGCACTGTCTATATGGAATACAGCATGAATTTTAAATGAACACGGAGCTTCCTATTGTTCTGAAATCGATGTGAGAGCAGCGATGTTCAATTCCGCTGAAAGTCTTTAATGTTTTTCACTTCTGATAACACACAAACAACGAGGGCGGATAAGGTCATTTTTCTGCCCCCTCCCAGTGATACCTAGGTTTTGTATTGGAATGAACTCAGGTATGAATCCTGATCATATCTTATAGGCTTTTTTCCAAACTACTACAAAAACATCGAATTTAAATCCGAGTGTTATATGTACTTCAAAAAGTAAAAATAACTGACGACAGATTGATTTTGATCAAAGTGTCTAAAAAAAAGTGTGATCATGGCATGTCTGGGCATCAAAACTACCCAAGCGAGCCGTTTTTCCTAAAACTCGATTTCTATTGAATACTGATCAACCAATAGGATTGGAGGCACCTGGAGCTCGGATTCAAGTTCTCCGCCCCAGAAAACCTTAGTTCAAGTTTGATAAAACCTCGAAGTATCGCTTCTCTGATTGGAAAACAGGGCTTTAATTTTCGACCAATCAGAGTGCGGACAAACGCAGCACCAATTTTCTTTTAAGTATCTTTGCCACAGATGACTTAGCCCTCTTGTTTCTTAATGTTTCGTATACCATTTTGTAGCCCGTGAAATTTTCTATCGATTGGTATACAATAGTTGAGGTTTTTGTTATGATTATGAAAGAAAAAGATTTTTACGAAAACCGAGATAGGTCAATGTTCGGATAGACAAGCACAGAAAATAATGATATTTTTTGCGATATCTCGGCAAATTCCTTGATGAATTATTCTCATCTTCGAACTCGACCGACATATCGATGAGACGATTCTATGCACAAAGTTTCATGGCAATCGGTTCATATTCTCAGGAGTTATCGTGTAAAGGACTGGACAGGCACACTGAGAGATACTATAGTGTACTCACTTTTGAATACCAAAAAAGCTTTTTGGAACCTGTGGTCTCGCATGGGAAGAATGAAAAAAAATCCTTACAGAATGGAGTGCGCTAATTACGAATATCATCATCAGAAACCCCATAAATGTTTTGTTAATTGAAAACTCTAAATATTATGCGGTGACTCTTACAGTATAAAGCTCACCTTATAGCTGTCATCTTGATCATTCGACCGCTAGTATTGATGAACAATTTACACTATGTATTTAAAAGTGCATGTTCTAACGGAAAATGAATAGAAAACTGATTAATTACAGCGATTTGGGAGGATACTTTGCGATCGGGAGAGCCATTTTTGCTTATTTTCATGCTGTATGTTGTATTTGAACCCTTGTCTCTTCATGAAAAAGACTAGAATCAATACCAGTTTTTTTGTATATTTGCTATCTCATGTTCTATCAAATTTTGACCGTTAAAATGCCAAAAACTAGGTGCGTCAGGATCTACAATCCGAAAAACCTAGTTTTCCGTCATTTGCGTGGTATTTTTCATGCTTGGACCCTCGTTTGCTCATAAAAATTAGGAAGCTCGTGGGAATGCGAGTTCTGGTTTTGGTTCAAAATCAATACCACTAACAACTACGATAATTCACACAAACACTACAGATCTACACTGCGAAAATACCGAAAATCCATAATTTTTCATATTTTCTTTATTATGGATTCCAGGTTCTTTTAGTTGAAATACGCCAAAGATAAGCATATCTTATTGCTCTTCCAAATGAGTTTGGCACAATTAATCTCTGAGGTGTTGGTGCGATTCTACTTGTATCTGATAAGAAGAGTTAGATTCACACTAAATCCCAAGTTTTCATAAACAAATAGTGATTCAAGATCACATATACATTGAAAATGAAGAAAAACTGAGATTTTTTACCCTTTGAGCATCGACTTATCGATTGTTTGTCATTTTTTATATTTAAAAAATCGACAAAGCATGAAAATTTACATATAGGCAGAAGTATAGAGTTTCCTTCTGATGTCTTTCATGAAATGCCAGTGGTCCCCAAATGAAAAAAGCAAAAACAAAGAGGGGAAATCGAGGTTTTCGTTTATCCAACCCAGTTGCACTTTTTCTGTGGTCTTTTAAACACCACGATTCAATAGAAATGGAAAACTGCACGCAGAGGAAAGAAAAGTAGTCTTACTTCTAGATTCTTTCATGAAAAGGCAGGGCTCCAAATGTAAGGCAAATGCATGAAAATGACGGAAAACCAAGTTTTTCCGATTGCAAATCCTGATGTACCTATTTTTGGCATCTTAACGATCAAAATTTGATAGAACACGAGATAGCAAATATATAAAAAAACTGGTATTGGTTCTAGTCTTTTTTATGAAGAGACAAGGGTTCAAATACAACACACAGCATGAAAATAAGCAAAAATGACTCTCCTGATCGCAAAGTATCCCGTAAAATCGCTGTAATCAATGATGTTTCTATTCATTTTCCATTAGAACGTCTAGTTTTACATATCGACTAAATCAGTGAAAAGGAAACTTTATCTCTTTCATTTGAGTGAGGTTCTCCATAAATGCTACTGTTTTGAATAGATTCTTTTAGCTGGTTATTAATTAATTAATTATTTTAAAAATAATTAGTGAATATCTCGTTAGCCAAATGAGATGAAATTTCTGAAAGCTTCAGGATAGGCTTTGAGCTCCGACCGCATATATGGTAAAATTTTCAACATAATTGAACTTCAAAGAATTTCTTTCGAAAAACGGTTTTCCAGAGAACTTACAGAGTGCAGAAATAAAAACTTGTGGTTTATTATCTTCTACTAACTCCTAATAACAATATGAACCATTTGAAATCGATTTTAAACTGTTCAGTTGACTACCAGAGCACTTTCTCGATTGTGTAGCCGTGATCAGCGGAATCACTAACGAAAATGTCACGTCACTAACGCGAAATAAATGTATTTTTTTGAATAACCTAGGTATGCTTAGAAAAAAATTTACGCAGAGATTTGATAGCCTCAGGAGTCGTCTACAGAATGTCGTACTTGGTTTTCTAAAATTGTACAGCAGTTACAAGTTTTTCAAAACTAAAGTATATTAAGTGACAATCAATGTCTTTTTCAGTGTCACGTCGCTAAAGTTAGTTTTTTTGCTGATAACTCCTCTGAAAAAAGCCCTGCAGTAATAATTTTTTCAGGGTATCTTGGCGAACTTGATGTCCCTACAACATATAACAATAATCCCTAAGACAGCTTTTTATTTCGAGATACACACATTTTCATTTTGCTAAGCCATATCGCTAACGAATGGTTTAGCTCATATATAGTATAAATTTTTCAACAATCCTAGCGGTCGAATTGTCTATAGCGCAGCTTTACGTTGAACCTTTACCGATAAGAGTCATCACATAATATTTAGAGTTTCTAGCTAAGAAAACATTTATGGGGTTTCTAATGTTGATATTTGTAATCAGCGTAATTCATTATGTAAATAGGAATAGATTGAATTTGAGTTTGGAAAAAAGTTTTCACCATCCTAGTGGTGATTCATAGGTTCCAAGAAACCTTTTTTTTTTAGCAGTGATAGATGAATCAAACCGAGTTGTTACACATTTACTGGCTATTTTGAAGAGCTATCTGCAATAGATCTATGAACTGAGGTATCAATACTATTAAACGAATAAAGGCTTCAAAATTAAAAAATTTACTTCTTGTTGAAAGCGTCTGATATCATTTTAGAAAAAAAAGATCTTCACGTCTTGAGGTCTGAGAAAACTATGAATGGATGAACATGTGGGTCAAAGTGGTTTAAGCATAACTTTTGCCATAATTCTCGATTAGTAGAGCTTCAAACAGTGAAGTTTTTATTATTATTTTTCGATATTGAGATTTAAGATTCTAATTACAGGATTTTATGCTTGTACAGCCACCGATGATGCAAAAGCTTTTTAGAACTCTAAGCCTTCTTTACTAATAACTTACTGAGTGGCGCAATAGTTGTCGTTGTTATGGGTCCTAGAAAAGCAAGTGACCAATAAATAAATCATTAAAGTATTGTGATAGATAAAAACGAAAGTGATTTTGATTTTACTCACCACAAACACCTGGAAATGATACAACTCGTTGATTCCAATCATCTGCAAGAACCAAATTACCCAGGGGATCAATTGCTAACCCTCTTGGGTAATAAAATGAGGACGAACTAGCCACTGTCTCTCCATATGTGGATCCAGGCCACCATCGCTGAATTCTATTGTTACCAGAATCCATGATATACATGTAACCGTATTGATCAAATGTTATGGATGTGGGTAAATTAAATTGATAAGACCATGCGCCAGCGACACTTGATTGCCCTGCCACAGTTATACCACTCGAAGCTCCTATGACATAACAGAAAAACGAATACACATATAGATGTTAAGAATGCTCTATTTACCTCTTTCCCACATTTGCACTCTATGATTTCCTTGGTCTACAACGAACACCGTATAATTATAGTTAACATAAATTCCCCATGGATTTCGAAGTTGATTCAAAGCACTTCCGGCAGTTCCATTACCAGCCACCTA